AAAATATTGTACTAAAAATATATTAACGGTGATATTTTATGTCGTAATAAAAATACGAATAGAGCTCTAAAAACGTATCTCGCAGATTAAGAGTTAGATTTTTTTTTTCCCGTTCGAATTATATTTGTAATAAAATGCCTTTTGATTTCCATAAAAAAAAATAAAAACCGAAACCTAAACTAAAATTAATAGTTTTTTTTTTTTGTTTTTTATTACACAATCAATTTATGTACATGGTCTTCACCACAAACTATAATCTACGGACAATCGTAGCAACATACACTTTAGGTTTAGAGTAAATTCGATATTGGCATTTTTTTTACAAAAAATAATTTATCAAATCACGATATTATTAAATTTATATAAATCGTTAATAACGGTGGTGGCCATGTTCGTGTAAAAAATTTAAATAAACGATTGTATACATTTGTAATGATAAGAAAAATCTTGTATACATTTAAGAGTTATTTATAATCATAATATTTATGATCATTGTACTCTTATCGATACGTGAATTAATCGATATTGTTACTGTGATATTGGAAAATAAAATACGGGAAATAAAAATCAATTGATTTAAGAGCCAATACTAATCGGAGGGATAGAATTTCAACCGTCTCCGAGAAAACGTGGCGAAGAGTTGGGATAATTAAATTCTTGAAGTCTGAGACCCGCTTCCAGACACGTTTAATACATCAAAAAAAAAAAAGTGGTTCGTTCCATACTTTCAATTTTTTCTTTTACTTACGCGCGTGAAAGTTTATTTTCCACAATGAATTTATTAATAACCTAACAGAGAAATACTTTGACCGGTGAAACCGGTGCAGCTTGTGTTTCACTGAAAATTACAAACTATACGCCAGATGTCAAAAGTTTATCTTCAAAAAAAAAAAAAAATAATATAGTAAAAAAATATTTAATACTTATAATGGCATTATTTTAGAATCTATTTTTTTTTTTTTAAATAAGAGTTAACAAATAAACGCAGCGAAATGTTTGTCATCATTGCTTACATGTTTTATTCTTAGTAAAAAAAATACTATTATTTCGCACGCGAGCAGATTTTAGAAATGTCGATTTCAAGTTTTTACACTTGACTCGAAAATGGTTCGCCACCCCTGGTAAACAACAACGTTTGACGTCAGGAAAATGATTTCTGTAAAGTCGGTATGCTTAACGAAATATTCCGGAAAGAAAACATTTTTTTTTATGGATTTACGGTAATGGCCTGTAACCCCGACGTTTAATTCCCGCGGGATAACTTTGCCGGGAGAGTTATGGACACGGTTTTCGGCAACTTCCAATATAGAATATTTTTGAGTGCGAAATTCACTACAGACGTTTGTTCGCAAAACAGTTTGATCGCTTAGAGTGCTAGACCAGAAATAATGTACCTATGTGTACGTACGCACAGGTGCGTTAACCTGTGTAGGTACGTTGAAATATGGCCAAATGTATTAATTGAAAAATCGTTTAAAAACTGTAACTAAACAAAACGTTACCTACAATATGCTTACGGCAGTTATGTCGATAATGTCCGGAAAACTTACAGTACGATTAATTAACATTCAATTTTTTTTTTTATAATTTTCCTGTACACATTTATAGCATTTTTTTTTTTTTTTTTTTGTCAATCCTATTTGAATATAATAAGCGTGTATAAAATCGTACATTCAAACGATTCGTTAAGTTGGACATTTCTATATGTATAAATGTGTACAGGGTGTTCCTTCAACGTGTTCCAAATATTAATAAATCTGTTAATATATTTTTTTTAATTTTTCAACGTTTCCAAAATAGCCATTCTACAAAAGACACTAAATTCTTGAAAGAATGTTAATGCACAGTGTACATTCACAGTCGATCAATAATGTCTGGGTAACAGCCGTTTTAATTTCTTACAACGATAAAAAATGTATAATTGCCACGGATTACAAAACGAAAACCCACTTGTGGTAAAAATAGTTATCACTTGCGAGGGTTTACTACCGTTGTATTACGATTGTAAATTGCTTATCGCGTAGCACGGAAGCCCGTTGAACATGAGCTTTTCACGCAAATTCTCTAAACACAAGATAACGGTTCATCGGATACTTATACGTTGGATTAAAATATTTAGAACAATAAGTGTTAGAAATTAGCTGTTTCGAAAGTGTAAACGGATAAATAGTTTTTATTTTTTTCCAGTGGATATAATTAGAAGATAATAAAAAAGAACGGACATACTTCGCACGTGGTCGCAACCACTGTTGTAGGTGAGAAGTTGGAAAGGTATGATACAAACCGAAATTTAATGAATATCTGTGAGCAATTATAAACCATTGCTAACGAAATAACGATTCTGAGCCGAGTTCAGTAGATAATGTTGCCTTGTCAACAATACAATGTATGGCATATATCATATTACGGAAAAATGATTACAACAATGTGCGTTTCCGTGATAACAATGATTATTTAAAAAGGATTAAAATAATAAACACTTAATAATAACAAAAAATAAATAAAAATGACAGTCTCATTTTTAATCTTTCGATCTTTTTTAACCTAAATACCCAGGTTTTCCTCATTATCTCGAATATTAATGAGAATTTCGGAAACTGACTTCATTAAAGTACCATCCAGAGAACATTTCCTTTCAGAAAAAATACTATACCTGATAATCGGAGTAAACTTTCTAGAAGAAAGTGTTTACACAGAAAAAAAATTTTAAAAAAAAATCGTAAAACCTATACATTCTTCGCTGAACTCCGGGGTTAAAATTTGATAACGTGTACCCGGGAAAGAAATTCCGATTGAAAAAATGACCACGAATTTGTGAAACGGTAGCAGAATTACTAACGTCCAGAAAACATTGCAGGGCGCTCCGCGCGATATTATACAATACGACTTTGAGTCGATATTATGATTTTATTTGATTCGCATTATGAACGCGTCGGAATTCGATAAAAATTCATCTGAAGATAATAATATTCGCCGCGTTATTATACGCCGCAAAAAATAACGATAATAATAATAATAATACGATTGTAATATTTTTCAAACCTGACAAAAGAAAATTACCATTTTAACAACAATTTAAATAACATATTCGCCATGTGTATAGGTGCAAATTTGCATAATATTATTTCGAGAAAATATTCCGACATCCTGATTTGATACACAAGCAGGTAGGTCTGTAGGTGTACGTGTGCCAGTATATTATTATGTTGTAACGCGGGGAAGAGGGGTAAGGGGTTAAAACGAACTGACACGAATGATTTTAAATTCAATCGTCGGAATATGTTCAGTGTTTTAGCGCGCTCGTATTATAATCAATGCGTAAAAATATTTTTAAAAAAAGTATTGTCTGAAAAAAAAAAAAAAACCATTTTGTCGTCGGCGCGCACGGCGGTGGTACAGTAGTATAGTATTGGTAAAAATATGGCCACCCCCAAAAGTAATAAAATAAATCTTTATCAATAACGCCGATATATAACGACACTCGTATAATACAGTGAACATGAAATATATGGAGTAGACCGGTCGTTTTAGCCTAACCAATAAAGATGAAAAAAAAATGTTTTTTGTTTTTGTTTAGTGGCATTTTTATCGAGTAATATGCGAGGGATTTTATTTTTTTTTTTTTTTTGTAAATTCCATTAAGCATTCAATACATTTACACCGCGAACGACATGTTTCTCGTTTCCGAATAGACGTACGTATTATTATTTTCATCATTGTTGTAGTGTCCGTTAAAAATTAGTACTATTGGTTATCCGAAATCCAATATCATTATATTACTCCAATATTTCGAGATATCTATTATTATTATTACTCGTTTTTTTTTTTTTTTTTTTTTTTTTTTTTTTTACTTACTCAATAGTTGTTATCTTAGTTTACTATCGCTTAAGAGGACGTTATACCCGCTCAGTATAAAAGCTACAAAAACCTATATTTTTTTAATTTTTTTTTGCTTTTTTAAATAACTGTTAACTGTCATAATAGTTTATAGTTAAAAAAAAAAAAACACCGACGACCTCTCCGGCAAAATATTATTCTCTATAAATTTCACAATAGGTGCTTTAACTCTAAAATCAAAATCAAGCCAGTTTTAATTAGTTTGCGCGAGAATTGTTTTTGCATGTTACCCGGTAATTTCGCCGAGACAGTGGATGCGGGTTTAACATCCTGTTAATCGCTCAAACACTCAAACTCACTGCAATACTATTGTTTGTACGATAAAATAACAGGTTAGTATCAATTAATTAGTGTAGTTCATCGCAGACTGCAGACTTATTTGACAAACCTAAACGCGCGCGACGCCAATAATAATGAATAATGATCCAAAATTAACAAAATACTCTGTTCGCAGGAACGTGTGTTATTCGCTGTTCGTCCGTCCGCCGTACTCGTAGTGATATTACGGCGCGAGCAAAACAAATGGCGTTCAATTTATATTGAAATTTTATCCAAAACTATTAATTTAAAAAAAAAAAAAAAAAAACCACCGCCTCCGTTGTCTTTTACGGAAATTTTAATACACAATGCCTCATCAATTATTGTAATTGTACTTTTAGTCGTGTTTATGTGAGTTTGGCAAGTGTGCGCGGGTTTTGTGTACAGAAAATAGTTTCCAAACAAGTATTTTAGGACCGTAAATTATGTACGGAAATGAAAAGCAGAGTGAAAATTGGAAAGCATTGATAAAATTGTTTGAAACTAATGTTGTTTTTTTTTTTTTTTTTTTTTTTGCCCCCCCCGGGGCCCAAAA